GCCCAAGCATGTCTATAAATGCCCAAAGACACAGAGAGTCTAGTTCCCAAGGGGCAGAGTCATAGGCGACTGGTGCTGCCCTAGTCGGGGAGTGGGGGGGAACGTGCTCCCCCTGCAACCAGTCTTGCTGACTGTGGGGAAAGGTCCCCTGTGGGCAATCGTGAGGACTGAGGGGCAAGGTTCCCCACTCCCTGGCGATCCCATGATGCCTGATCGCTGTGGTTGAGGGCTGCGAGAGCTGCAGCCACTTCCAGGAGTGGCTGTGGCCACTTCTGGGAACAAGTGCTGACTGATCACTGCAGCCACTCCCAGAAGTGGTCACAGCCACTCCCAGAAGCGGATGCAGTGATCAGCTGGTGTTTGCAAGAGGGGCACTGGTGCTCCTGCCTGCCCATAGCCTAAGCAGTGAGCATGGCTGGTAAGGGGGTGTACTGGCGCTCTCAGGGGTGCATGGGCACCCCCTACGTGTCACCACAGGGCAGAGTATACAGAGTGCTGGAGAGGCCCCACAAAATCAGTGACTGAGTAGAGGCATGGGCATGGCTATGGCTGTGGGGTTGGATGGAAGTCAAAAATACTGCCCCTAAGGCATGGGTTAGGACATGAGTGGTGCCTGACTAGTGTCAGTAGGGTTTGGGGATAGGTTTTGGTAGCAGACTGGGATCCAAACAAGTAGCTTAACTTCAAGTTAGGACATCAGCAGTTGGATTACTCTAGGACTTTGGGGAAGCCTCCCACCCCAATAGAACATTTCCATCAAGATGTGGCAGCTAAGACTGTGATGGGGTACCCAGAGGAGCTGGAGTAGGGCAGGATGATTGTGGCTACTAGGGGCACTGCAGCTGCCCTAGGGCCTATCCCGCCACAAACACAGAGGTTTTTGTCCTTATAACTTTGTATTTCTGTCCATGGTTTAAATGCCAGGTTTATGGGGCATTTAACTATTTCGTAACTGGGCTATCTGCCTGGTTACGTTTAATATGCAAGGTCCTCTCGTCCAAGGCTTATAAAACAGTTATTTTTTTGCTGTCCCTTCCTTCTATGCATTTCCCCCTTCCCTGTTGCCTACCTGCCGCCCTTGATCCCTGAAGAACTCTCCTGTATTCTCGATGACCTGTTCATCTGACAGCTGAGAATATGGCTGCTCTCGGCAAAAAGTGAAAGTCTCCCATAGTGTCACGCCAAATGCCCACACATCGCTGGCTGTCGTGAATTTGCCCTGCATGGAGGAAGCAAAAGTTGATCGGTTCAGAATCACACATGCATGTGTATGCATAGACACATGCACGTATGCACACAGCATCCCTACAACTAGTCCCTCCTCCCTGTTCTTGCAGCCTACCCAAGAGACCACTGGAGACAACAGGACATGTTCTGCTGACCTTATTCATATTCGAGTTGACTCATGATCTTCATGTGAAATTCTCATGGGAAAATTGTCAAGAGAGACAGCTGGATGGAAATGGGACAGAGCCCTCTTTGAGTGCCTGACTGATACAATTACATTTTATGCAAGTATATAATGTGCTATGCCATATCCCTTTGAATGAGACCCTATCTTGATCTGAAGGGACAGAGCATTTACCATACAAGTAGTTAAGCTGTTCTAGAGCCTGTTCTCCTTTTGCCTTCAAAAATCATCTCTTGATTTGCTTTGTTTACTATATACAAAACCACGCTTGGGCATCTCTCTTTTTTGGTTTGGAGATTTCAGCTGGTAATGGCACACTGTTGGGGGTGACTTATGCCTCTTGAACCCATATTGTTCATTGTCCAAACAAAGCCAGCCTCTGGCAAGCTTTGGGACATGTTTGTTTAACCAGACTTTCATTAATGCCATTAAGAGGGGATGGGGTAGTTTTGAAAGCCATGGTCTCATGGCTGTGGTCTCTTGCTTTGTATTTGTGTTGATACAAGATGTTGAGGAGCCTTGGCTTTAGAAGGCACAAATGCAATCTTATATTGGTAAAAAATAAATAATCATAATGAAACAAACCAGGATCTCTCTCTCCCAGGCTGGAGAGAAATCCTGGTCACCTGATCACAGGCAACTAACACTTCAGGCCAAGCTGTCTGACATAAGAATGTGGCTGCACAGTTTTTGTGCTGTGATGTCAGAAAATGACAATAAATGTTTTGTATAGTATATCTAAGTAAATGAACTGCTGCTGCTATAGCCTGACAGATCTTGGATCTGAGCTATTGTACTAAGTTTCTCATTTTTATTCTCTGGTTTGGAAAGAATGTCCACTCAATCTCGTATGTTTAGCTTGGTCCTTGCTTTATTATAAATTACAGTACAATATTTGGCTCCAGTCCAGAGGCTGTGGGTTAGAAACAAGACTGTGTGAGAATTTATTTCAAATGCAAGGAACACGGCTAATCCCTGGCTCCTATCCCTGATAACATGCATCTGGTTTGAAATCTGGATCTAACTAACAAACGGCACTCAGCTACCTCAACTACTGCTGAACCCAATGTTACAGCTGTGCCCAGTACTATGGAGCATCTGCACAAACAGGCTCTATACCCAGACCTCCATCAACCAAGTAGAGAACAGTGTTATGCTAAAGCAAGTAAATCTTTAATCTGTGGGCAACCACAAATTTAATTGATGTTGGTAGGCGTAACAGTCATCTTCCATTCAAACTAAATGAGTATGCTCCACTATTTAGAGGTAGTTAAAACAGTAGGAACCCTTGCCTGAAGCAAGGGTGCTAAGGAGATCTACGTGGGCAAAAGTTGGGGGCAGATTAGACAATGCATACATTTGCAAAGGCGGGGGGTGGGGGTGGCTCTGTGCCCTGTGATTGGCTGTGGCTTGTGCACTTGTACAAGCAGCCACTGACCTATGGCACTCCTTTTTCTCTTCACTCTATGCTGGTGTAAAGTTGTACATGACCCTTGTGAGCCAAATCCTTTCTCTCACTAGGCTATGGTAAGCAGCCCCACCGCCAAAGTCATGTGCTGAGACTGCTCTATCCCAGTGAATCTGCCATCTTAGGCCTCAGCTCTGAGCAGCACTGGACCCTTATTCTATGGGGAGAAGACCAGATCTTCCCAGTGGGTTGTTCTAGCATGCACCACTTGGTGACGGCCTCCTAAGGGCCACTTGGCCATCAAGAATAGACAGAGAGCAGTGCGCTCCAGCTTCCTCCCTTAGCACATGCCTACCTCTTGTGCTTTCCCTGCATTTAGGAGAGGCTGAAACACTCCATTGATTCAAAACATGCAAAAATTGCATCTAAGATGTGGTTTCCTGGGTATCAGTGTTACACAGCAATATATTGTCAAGCATGGATGTGCCATCCCCCATGAGATGCCTACACGATCTCACTCTCACTGGTACACAGGCAAACCTTAAAGAACATGCTTCTTGCTGGCCCACAACTCAAGGGAGCTGGTCCTCTGCACAGACACGTGAGTGACTCACAGCTACTGGTCTGAGGTGACTTGTTCTCTTGTGTCTCCAGTGCCACATGGCAGACTGGCTCTAAGCAGAAACCTCTCAAGCAGCACCCTACCTAGACTCCTGGTGGCCCCGGGCAAACTTTTGGTATTGGGCCCCCCTTCACCAGAGAGAATGATAATAATAATCTGACAACAGAGAAAAATTTACCATTTTCAGGCCCCCTTTCTGTCCAAGCCCCAGGCAGCCGCCTCTGCTCTCCAGCCGTCCTTGGTAGATGCCAAAGAGTAGCCAGAGGGCTGAGCTGAAGTGAGAGGGGCTCCTATTAATGGGCTTGGCAGGCCCTGTTTGAAGGTTAATCTCAGAACATAGGAAATGCTTTGTTTGGGAGAGAATGGGCAGCAACACTTGTGTAGTTTCACCAACAGGTATATACACATTTGAACGGATACTGACAATCCAGCTAGGCCTTTAGCTTGCATTCACTCACTTGTGGGCAGTATAAGACTACAGAAAGGATGCACCATTCTCTTCCTCAAGCCTAAGCAAGATGTCCAGAGAAGATATGGCACCTCTCAGACAAAGGGTGGTGTACCTAGGTTCCCAAGATGGCCACAGCCCCTGTGTAAACACGAAATATGACTGCTGTTTCTCCATCTTCTTTTCATCTGTTTCTCACTGTAGTGCCTCTCCCCATCTGGGGACATCTCTAGACAACTCTAGGCATGAAAAGAAGGTCCTGAACTCTCTGAGAAGCAAGAAATATAGATGCAGAGTGACCCATTCCACCCCCTGTTCTTTCTGATTTTCCAGTGCAGGGGAGGGCAGTGGGCAGGAGAGCCCTGAGACCCACCCCTCCATGACCTCTCAGCTATAAGGGAAGCAGTCAAGGACAGAGGACAATTGAGGCCTGCTCCCAGAAATCTCCTCACCCTCTCCGGTGCCAGTGGCACCCCAACACAGCCACTTACCAACAAAATGCTCTCCCAGGACATCCAGCGAATAGGAAGTACCGCCCGTCCCTGGATTCTGTAGTAGTCCCCGCTGTACAGATTCCGGCTCATGCCAAAGTCCGCTATCTTGATAGTGTAGTTCTTACCCACCAAGCAGTTGCGTGTGGCCAGATCTCGATGAACAAAGTTCAGAGAGGACAGATACTTCATGCCAGAAGCAATCTGAGTGGCCATAAACTTCAAGTCGGTGTAGCTGCAGAGACAGGGAAGGACAAGCAGGGAATGAGGCTGCTGGGCATGTATTTGACCAAATGAGCATAACCAAAACAGGAACAGTTCTGTGAGGTTCAGAGCAGCCTGGCTTATTACAGCACAAATAGGCTTCCTCCTCTGGGGTGACAGAGACATTAATATAGGCTAGAGGAGAAAGCCAGCATGATAATACCTGCATTTCTGCAAAGCAAGGCCTGGGCACTGGGCAGGTCCTGAACAGTGTTAGTAAGGACCCCTCTCAACAGCCTGTCACAGAAGCGGGCAGTCAGGAATGAACATGGCATGGATATCAGTGGGATCTGCCTAAACCCTCACAGGGCATCCACCTCATGCTAAGCCAACCCTAAGTTACAAACTTAGATGGGTTTGGCACATCCCAGGGACACCCAGAGCAATGGCACAAAATGCTGGGAGCACAATGTGGGGGAGTCCAAGAAAAGGAAGTATACTGGACAGAGGTGGAACCACTGGCTGTTCCCTTCCTCGCCCCGCTATACACTCCCTCTCCTGCCCCCAAACACCTGTTACCCCACCCCACTAGTTCTCTTCCTTTTGGCCAACCCAGTCCCACCTCTACCCTCTTCCACCCAGGAACATGTTACCCTGCCTACCCAGAAATCCCAGCTCTTGGCTTACCCCTCAACAAGCACATTATTCCCCACCCAGCTACACCATCTCTCCCTCTTTCTTCTTTCCTACCAGACCCACCCACTCTCCCTAGTCCCCTTTCAGTCACACCTGTTCTTCCCCTTCAGCACAAAAACAGGAAGCAGAGTTGTGTGTACTGAAGAGCCCAGGTCGGAGGGGGAATGGAGCTACCTGACAGTGGGCGCACTGCTGGTGGGGGTGCCCTGGGGCTCATGGCGGGACAGGAACTGGTTGAGGTCTCCGTTCTCCATGTACTCAGTGATCATGCAGAGGGGGTCTTCAGCAATGCACACTGCCAGCAGCCGGATGATGTTGGGGTCCTTGAGTCTCGACATGATCTTAATCTCCTTCAGAAAGTCATTCCTTTTAGAAGCAGAAGCCACATGGACAGACACACACAGACAGAGCCAAACATGCCAGGCACTGGGATTAGTGATATGAAATACAAACCAGGGAATGTAACCACAAAATGCAATTCACACAGCAGTAACGAAGACAGAAGCTCCAGGGGAAATGCTGCTTCTCTGGTGAGCCGCAGAAGATATCCCACCGTAACAGGTCACTCCACAGCAAAAATCCAGGGTGCAGGATCAGGTATTCCCTAGTGTAATTTGTTCATTCACAGAATGTGGGTACTGGGGAGGTATTTGCATTTGTTCCTCCAGAGAATACTAATGACCATGCGATTCAGATATTTCCTTAAACTACAAGCATATGCGCCATCACTAGCAGAACACCCCATGCTGATACAAAGGACTCACTCTGAGTGGGCCCCTTCTATTGTCATGGTACATCTTGTGAGGCACAGGGTAATATTTTCAATAGTGGCAATAGAAGTGAAGAGCTTGTGGCCAGTGTTTACTAGTGACTTAATGGGCTCTTCTGTATGGGCAATGTTCTCACTGAGACTGGAGTGGCTGACTTAAAAGGGTAAACGCACAACTGCCAGGGAATGGAGCTCCATGTGGTGGGCATACCTGGCGTTCTTGTTGGCATCAGCACGGAGCATCTTTACAGCCACCAGAACAGGCTGGTTGGAGCTGACATCCAAAGCAAAATCCTTGTCCATGAACTTTTCCATCCCTTCCACCTCACAGAGATGAACCTAAAGGGAGACAATAAGGAGCATTTACTTTCCCCTGTGGAAATAGACATGAACTGATCAGCAACTGGCTTCCTTTCCCATAGGTAACAGAAATTGCATGGGACCAGATCCTGTTTTCAAGAAGCCCCTTGGTACGAGGCGTACTGCATAGGTTGAGGGGAAAAACAAAGCCAATACAAGACCCTAGATGAGCAGGTCTTCTTCCTTTCTATGCCTCAGAATGGTAACAGTGATAGTCTGAAGCGACAATAGCTACCACCACTCTTATACCCTGGCTCAATGGAGGGACTGTGTTTAATGAATGTTTTCTGCAGTAGTTCATCATCTTCCAAAATACCTGTGATCTACTCCTCAATAAAATGGTTTCTGTGAACACTAGAGGTAAGAGCAGAACAGTGCAGAGCTACACCTGAACTCTGAGACAAAGCAGACCCTCCCACATTCTGTTAACTTAGCCACTCTCAACAAATCGCATTCCCAAAAATGCTTCACCACCTCAAGTTCCTACCAATGACTGATGAATTTTGTTTCATTGCATACCAGGTCCCCTGTTCACTCACACCTGGGTAATTGGCAATGCTCTGTCAGACAAACATCACAGCAACATGCTCCAATTCAAATATCCAGACAAATAAGTAGACTAAAGCTCGAGCCACTTTGGAGCTCTACGCTTAGGAAGTGAGTGATCTTACAGAATGCCCTAAGCTAGGGGTACTCAACCTCTGGCCCTTGGCTAGATCAGGCTTTCTTCCCTGCATTGCTTTCCCACCAGAGCCAACACAGCCAAACAAACCAGAATCTATTTAAGTTTGTATGTCCTCATCCAAACTGTTTAGTTGGACCCAGTCCAGCACCACTGCCCCCACTCATTGAAGGCCAATGGGGTTCCACAAGCGTGTGCCATGAGGGCAAAATTTATGGCACGGGCCAGTGAACAAATTACTACAAAGAAACCTAAGGTATTAACTTAGAGGGTGTTCACTTCTCCATGATAAGTGCCCATGTGTGTGCACTCTTACCCCATGGGAAATTTGAGGTAACTCACCCTACTTCCATTGTGCGGCAAGCGCATTCACACAGGCAGTTATTGTGGTATAGATGACATGCTATAAGTTCACATATCAATTTACCTTGTGGTATGCCCGCGCCCTTAGCCACTAAAACTTTATTATAGGGAATGATGTGGAGAAGGGAAGGATCCTGCCTGACTTTCAGGGCCCAGGCTGATTTTGCAGGAAGTGGGCAATTCTCTGGGCCTTCCAAGTCACTGACTTAAATGAAATGAATTTTTTGTCTGGTTTGGAAGGGGCATCAGTGGGTGCTATAACATTCCAGATGGCATCAGTGATCAACTGCTGCAGGGTATGGGTATAGAGCTTTGTGCTGCCTAAGGAAAATTGAGGTTATGGAACAGTGGACCCAGGTTTCACAAAGCACATGTTGGAAATAAAATTCATCTCATAGCTCCTGTCCTGACATTGCCATAGATGTTGCGTAGCAGGATGGCGTAGTGCAGATAGAACAGAAGGGGCAACCAGGAAACGAGAGGCCCTGGGGTCAGCTTTACCCAGTAGGAAATGCGTTTTAAGTCACCAAGGCTCAAATCCTGTTGTGGAAATCTTGGTTATCGGAGCAGTACAGATCCCAAGAATGGATTTATTCCCAACCCAAATGAGTCCTACATGTTGTTTGGAGCAATATTGACATTAGACAGTATCAAAATTGTTAAAAGGGCCATTTACTGAGCATGACAACCAACATCCCCAATCTCTAGTAAATCAATTACTTGACCGAAGTCAGCTGCTAGGAGATTTTCTATTTTAGGATAACTCTGGAGTGAAGATTTTTTCTTTAACTTCCAGCAAACTTGGAGCTGCTCAGTGTTAAAGCAGCACAATCCTTTCCCTCAAAAGTCAGCTAAATTGGCAGGAAAAAAAATCCCATCAGAAAACAGAATTTCTGTCATGAGAAATTCTGAAATTTCAAAATTTGTTTCCGTCTTAAGTTGGGATGAAAAAAAATGTTCATTGGAAACATTAAAATGACCTACAATTAGTTTTCATAATGGCTAAACATTAATGTAATGTAACGTAACTTAACATAATAGACAAAATGAAACTGAAGGGGAAAAATGGAATAAAATGAAATGAGAAAGTTCAAAAAAATCCATTTTGATTTCAAATCATAGTTACATTTCATACAGTAAGTTTCATTTAGAAATTGAAGCATTTCTGGAAAATATTTTGATTGGAAAAAAAATGAAATACAATTTCCCAACAGAAAGCTGTTGTGTCAATTTTTTTCAAGAAGCTCTACAAATCCTGCATTGGCAGAAACCATGGAGAAAAAAAACTTTGGCCAATGCAACAGGAAAACAGATTGTACTTGATTAGTCTTTCACTGTAAGACATATTTTCCAGACCACAAATCATTCTTGCAGTTTTTTTCTGGTCCCTTTCCAACCAGTCAACATTCTTTTTTAACTTCTGGACAGCAAAATCAGTCACAGAAAATAGTGAATCTGTTTGTGAATTTAAAGAATTATTCATTATTTGCACATCTATTTAATGAGGCAAGAACTATTTCATTTGTAGAGTGGTAAAAAAGAAAAGCAAATGTTTGGTTGGCCTAGAACAGGAAGACTGCATGAAGAGGTTATTAATTTCCACCAGTGCATTGGAAGGTATGTCTTCTCATCACTGTCACTTCCACATCCTTTTATGTCTCATACAAGAACGCTTATTTTCTATAGCGCCACACCCTTAGCTCCAGATTGAGGCACTGGTTCAGCAATGACTGACAAGAACAGACACATGCTAATAAATAACTCACTTCCCTTCCCAGAGCATGTACCTGGGCCTTGTGGCTGTTCCATCTACACAGTAGCCTAAACTCAGCCCGTTTAGCTTTCAAGATTTGATAGCCCCTCAGCCCCAACCAGTCTATGTGTAGATCTGTTCCAAGGGTGAAATTACACATTACACTTGGACCATATTAAGCGTGCTTCAAATGTAAGCATCCACATGTTAAAGCTCATTAACTCATGATAAGTGCCATCTGAGCATCTCAAAGTTATGCCATTTCAGGCATAGGTTAACTCTGGGGCTGTGCTACTTAGCTCGTGTTGGGCTAACTTCTTTCTGTTCCACAGAGATAAAATGAGCAATTCAGTCCTCCAGCATCCCAAGATATGTTGCTTCCAGTCTCGTCCTACCCAGAGCAGAAATAGGTGTCCTGGCTCCTAGCCACACCCCTGCTTGCCAGCCCTCCTGTGACAAGTCAGAGCTGTGCAGGCAAGAATGATGTTAGCCCTTAACTTGTAACTGCTCACAGAGGATCTAACTCTAACACCACTTATCATTCCTCGGATTTAGTATGGTCTAAGTGTAATGCATAATTTCACCCTAAGGAAAACCTTCCCATGAATCACCAGGAAGCTCTCACCTCTTTCAGCACCAGAGAATATCCTTCTCAGAGTGGAAGAAAGCCATTGTCACTGGTTGTTCTACCCTGCAGCCTAGCCTGGGAGCAGACACGGTCTGTAGTGAATGTAAAAGTAAACACTGGCTCACTCACCTCCCCAAACTGGCCTTCTCCAAGCTTCTCCTTGAAAGTCAGTAGTTTCCTAGGGAACTCCTCAACAGCCACATCCTTGCCTGAGAGCAGGTCCATGGTGATGGCTGGCACGGAGTAGGTGTTACTGCCTGTCACTCCCTGCAGATTCACAATGTCTGCCTCTGCGTAATGAGGGACCCCCTCAGGGCCATTGGCTTGGGCTGGTTTGACAACACCACTGCAGCCTGGGAAGAAAAGAGCAATGAGAATAGCTCTGCTATAGAGGGACTCTTCCCTGGAGCCCAGTCACACAGAAAATGTCCCAGACCACCTGCTCTCCCAGGCTCCTGGAGAGGGTGGATTAGACTTTAAGGGAGGTTTACAGGGGTCTGAGGCCTATTCAGGCTTCTCAGTTTTCTGAAAACTTCCACCAAGTTTCTGGACCAGGTTATGGTGCATGCCACAGATGGTGCAAAGAAAAGCCAGGAGCATTGAGAACATGTGCCACCTGCTCAGAAAGCAACCATAATGCAGCTGGGGATGACAGCTCCTCTGGGAGCAATGAAGCTGGACTGCCACTGCTTCCCTAGAGGGGATCTCTCCATGCACAGGGACAGGGAAATGGCTAAAACTGTAACCACAGGAGTGCTGGGGGAGAAGGTTCTCAAGCTGCAGGACTTTATTTTAACTCCCCTGCTTGCTTCTCACCTGCCTCCTCATCTCCTGGTGCAAACTCTGGCAGCTTGCGTATAAGCCGTGAAGGCTCCTGGTAATCCGGGCCCAGGGGGAATATGCGGTCGTAGGTGGAGTTGGACTCCTGTTCGCTGGATGAGGAGGAGCGGTTGTGGTTGAACATACTGGATTCGCTGGGCAGGGAAAGGCTGACTGTCATTTCATCATCCAGCATCCGTCGAGAAGCCTGAGAAAGGAACATGGAAGGAAAAAATGTAGGGATAGACTGATGGACATTCCCACACTCTGGGCAGAGAGACAAGCCTACAAATCAAACCAGTCAGATGCACCAAGTTGGCAAAAACACCACATTGGACAGACTGCATCTGAAATATGGCTTTTCCAAAAGCTGGGAGAATCAGTTTGAGAATGGTTTCTCAAGTCAGAAGGGTCTGGCAGAGAAGGTTCTGCTCTTCCTTTTTTGTATAAACTGCAACACTCCTGCCAAACATGAAAAAAAACCCACTTCCCAGTGGGAAGATCCAGTTCCTCAGCAGCTCAGATGAAATTCAGTCTGAGCAGAGCTGAAGCAAGTCTGTGTACTGGTCTCTAGCTCACATGGGCTGTAAATAGTACTTGTCCTTCAGCAAGAGCTCTGCACAGGGATGAATCTCACCCCAGCGAAGCAGACCCTATTGTCAGGGAAGTGCTGATGTCACCTGTGATTTTGATAAGCAGCCCTGGGAAGAAAGCCCTAGGGTGTAGAGAAACCTTACACAACAAATGACTGAGCTTGCCTCACCTTCTCCAGCATCTTCTGCCAGAACTGCCTCCAGAGGATGATGACAATGATGGCCACTAGAATAAAAATTATGGCCACCAGGCAGCCAATCAGGATGCGAGTGTTGCTGTCATCCACTTTGAGGGTTGGGTCTGTTGGGAGGAGAAAAAGAGCAGGCGTTGGCTATTGCCAAGGACAAGAATCTCAGATCAAGCATAGGTTGGGTTGTAGGAGCACTCAGTTGCAGGGTGGCACTTCTGCCCCTGGGCTCCCTGCCACACACCACGCCTAGATCATGAGTTAACCTATGATCTATGGCAGCGCAAAATTGTACATCTCTGATTCACCTTCCATCCATGACACCTCACATGCCACAGTGCTGGCCAGCAACAGTGCACCTTTGCTGGCCAGTACATTGGGGGTACACCTACCTATTCCTATTCATTGGGGTATACCTACCACCACTATTCCTCACCTACCTGCACATGGGGAGCAGCAGCCCTGTGGAGCCTCCCCTTGGCCTTGTACATTGACTGGTGAGGTGACTGGAAGGCACAGATGCACAGGACAAGAGATAATCCTGCCTTCAGTGACTGTCTCTGTGTGGTGTCCTGGTGCACCCACACTATTGACCCTTTCCACGGTGGCATGAGCTATGGAACCAGAAGGTTCACAATCACGAGACTGAAGTTAACATGAACTCCCTGATCTCTAGACAGGTGTGCCCATCACCAGGCTGTATGTGTCTCTTGTGGTATAAGCCCAAGCTGCCAGCTGCAGCTAGGCTCTTGGCTAGACTTTATAGCACTCCGGAAATTCGTTGGGAGCTTCTTTTTAATGAAAAGGGAAACATTTGATGTGCTGAATCTGAAATAGCATGACCTGGTCACAGTACAGTATGTCCTAGGCCTTTTATTTCACTCATTGTATGCTGTTCCTGCCCCTTTGCCTTCTGCCCTGACCATACATAACTGTCAGAAGAAGCCACGTACCATAAGTAGTTGGAGCCACGGGTGACTCGGGGGGCACACCGGAGTTGTTGTACATCGCCGCGTCTGGTAAGAGACAACATCAAGAAAAGTATGGTGAAGCTTGCAAACCTATGCAAGCTTGGTGGATGAGTTTATTATCACAGAGGGATGTGGCTGCATGTCCCTAATGAGGAACCGGTATGGAATCATGGTTAACAGGACTCAGCAGCATCCAAAACCCAAAGACTCCCCACATACATCCCCCATCAGAGGCACTAGCAGAAGAACTTTCTATCTGTCCCCTGGGTACAAGGCTCAATTTTCACACCCTGTTCCTTCCCAGAATGAATCATAACTGCTGGTACCTCAGTAACATCTTCAGGGACTAGGCCCCCCTCAGTGTCCTAACACAACTGTCCTCACCTCTCAATTCCATTGGCTGCCAAACCCATCAAAGGACATACATACACCTCTACCCTACGAGCTATTCAACTGCACAACTCATTGCCTCAAGAAGTCACTAGGGTATATCCCCACTGTGTCCCCAGGATTTCCCAGCAGAGATGCTTCTGATAATGCCCTGCCTACTCAATGTTCCTGCTTGCACATGCCAAACCTGGATATGCAGCAGTAAATGTCTAAAGGGGGCATTCACACTGGCCACTATCAAGCAAAATGGAGACAGAGATCTTTGGAGTGGCTGTAGGGAGATGCTCCTGGTGTATCTTCCTCAGCATGTATCTGTGTCTAGCGTATGCAAGCAGTAGGCAGGTAGGCAGGGCATGCTCAGGAGCATCCCTGCTGGGACACATGGAGGACATGATGTAGACATATGCATAGAAGCCAGGAATTGAGGAGAGTTAAGGCAGGGATTTGATATGCATAAGGAAATCATAAATGCCACATGTCTATCCAAGTTACTGGCAAAAAGTTTTGGAAGAGACATCAAAACTCTTGTTGGAGAGCAGTGTGAAAGATGTAGGAGCAGATTATCCCGTGTCTGCCTCTTCAGGAGTCTGATACCAAGCTCTGCGGCATTTGAATCTCCTCCTCCCTCACTTCCTTGGCCTATGCAGTATGACCACAAAATACCCATCCTCCTTGCCCTTTATTTCTCATTGCCAGTACCTGACTGGAAGGTGATCTCACTGAACATCATCCAGGTGTCAGCAAAGTAAAACTGGCACTTGATGGCATTAGCCATGCGGTGGAGCAGAGGCACAGTGACAAAACGTGCACTAGGGTTGACGTCATCCAGCACCAGCACTGAGGAGATGGCATTGGGCTCCCATTCATTGGCATCCGAGCGGAAATAGCACTGAACCTCCTTGAAGATCTTCACTCCTTTGGCAAACATGTTGTTACAGTGCACCTGTGGCAGCAACAGAGAAGGCTAAATGAGTGTCATCTTGACACAGGCATGTGGCATTCAACAGCCAAAGTAATTCCCCATTGGACTTTGAGATAGTTTCACAAAAGGAATAAAATACTTATTGTACCCTCTTCTCTTCCCTTGCTCTCACCCTGGCCTAGAAACCCTTAACACGTGTCCACAAGGACCAGCTGCAATGGGATGCTTCATCATCTCAGGAGGCTTGGATCTGTCTCAGGTCATAGATGAGGACAGTGTGTGGTCTCATCCCACTCCCTCACAAGCAGTTCATAGTGGTACTGCCATTATAGGTAGTGACAGCTTGTTAGGTCTCCCAAGGACAGGGATGGTAAAGTGGGACAGCAGGTCAGGGGGTATCTGGGCAGTATCTGGGGCTATAGAGTTAACAGTGCAGCTGGCTGGGACTGAGGAGAACAGCAGGGGTATAAGGGGCAGCATTGTTTGCACAGACGCTACCTGCAAAATGTGTTGAGTTTTGTCTAATTCATGCTCACCCTCTAACACAGGTCAGACTATATCTCAGACCCCAAGACCTTGGCATTTTGAGAGGTGCATGGCAAAGTGAGAGCCCTGCTGCCTCTCCAGAGTGTGCCTTCTCCAGGAAGGCATACACTGAGGTAGGGTATACCAAGAGCCAGTACTCATATCACTAAAAGAAGAGCCCTCAGGGCTGCAGACCTTCATGGTAGTAAAGTTCCTGATCCGGTCAAATTCAAACATGATTTCGATGTAGCCACTGGTGGTACTCTCATTGCGCCACCCCACATAGTCATAGCCAGGCCATACATGGTACTCATGGGTCTCAGTGAAGTCATCCAGCCCCGAGACCCCATCTGTCAGCTGGCCCAGTCCTTCTGTCATGCTGCCAGACACAAGGGAAGGAAGCAACAGAGCATGAGTCTCTTCTGGAGTCCACAAGGAAGCCCTCCAGCTCTTGGCCCTTCCTCCCTTCCCATCTGAAACACCTGATGCCTGGAGGAATTTATCACAAATACTTGTAAAATAGGAGAGAGGGTTTTTCAGAACAGCTATGCCTCCACACCCAGGGCAGCCAGGACACATGGGGCAATGTGGGGCACCACCATGCCAATCACAGTGGTATGATCAGCCACCTCAGTGGTGACAGCTACTTTTATGCCCCCGTTACTCGCCCCCACAAAGGCAGTGCCCAGGGCTGCTGCCCTGGTCACACCCTCTCAGTTATGCTACCGTTTAACTTCTTAAAATAGTGAAACTGTAAATCTCTCTTTCTCCACTGAATCCTCTGAGACCCAGTTTCAGTGCTGGGCTCCCACGAACTGAATGGTATTGTAGAGGTATCTAGGAGTACCAGATACACACATCCAGCTGTGTGCCATTAAGGAACTCGGACAGACAGAAAGCCAGACACGGGCCTTTGTTTTATTTATCTCAAGCTGCGTGTACTTTTATCTCGCATCTAAGGAAGAGTATTTGGTACCTGAAAGCTCGCCTATATGTCTTCTCAGCTATACAGCTGGTCAAATAAAATATATCACCGACAAGATTTTTTGTCTCAGATGAGACAGGCAGGCACTTTTGAAAAATTGATGGCAACATGTCATAACCCAACCCCCACCTGTTCCCAACTCCCCTGTGCCTGCCACTTGCCAGGCAAGACATTCTCTGGGCGCTCACCTGTACCCAAAAGCTCCATCATAGACAGAATCATTCAGGTAAATGACTGCGCCACCAGGAAGGACAAACTGCTGTCCGGCAGGAGCATTGTAGGAAACTAGCCCATCTGCAGGAGGAGAAAAGGGAGTTGCTGCTCTTACCAAAGGAACAAAGTCTTCCTCAGTGGGGTTTGCAGTCATTCACCCAGACCAATACAGATGACATCCCACACCCAGCCTGAGAGCTTGATACTGTAGGTCTGGATCAAGACCTCCCTCTTGAGTTCAGAAATGGGAAAACCACTTCTGTGCAAGTTTCCCCCAAAATGCATGGAAGGGGAAGGCTGGGCAGGCTGACATAATAGGGCTGTGGAAGTGATGTGTCAGAGGCATGCATCAGGGCCAAGAAGCATTTCCCTCACAACCACACATCCCCAGGAAATCCAGGCAGGAAGATGAAGACAACTGTGTCTCCCTGCTTTACTCTCCAATAACATACACTTTGTGCACTAGGTTGCATCAGATGCCGTCAGCACAAGATCCTACTGCCACAAGGAATGTTCTCCTTGCACTAGAAATTCCCCTGGATGTCTGTTCCTCTGGGTGCCATACCCCAGGGGGAATACAGGCTCCCTCAGAATGCTCCACTTACCCAGCCACACGCAGCCATAAAGCTCCACCCGCAGACAGACATTCATGGAGTGGTCGGTGACTGGGATGAAGCGGACAAAGCGCGCGATGATGGGGGGCTCCAGGTCCTTGAGGACAATGTCATAAGGGTTGGTGTTTCCATCCAGCACCTGAGCACAATGCAAACAGAGCAACCGAGGGTCACTGGGAAAGACAGGGAGGAAGGGGGCTGCTTTTGCATCCCTGTAGGTCCTGGAGCAGGGCAGATGTCCTTGTTTTCCATCTCCCTGGAGGAGATGTGTTAACACAGGCTGTGTCCTGCTGCTCTTTACCTTTTGCGTTAGATTTGGCATCTCTGTGCCAGGCACAACTCTCTCTCACATGAATGCACATGTGTGCGCACACATATATTTTTATATACAGGGCTTTGCTGTTTCTTCCTACAGGCACAAGGACTGGCAACAGACATGCCCACACCAAAAGCTAAGTACATCCCCCCAGCACTAGTCTACAAGGAGCCTGCTTACACTGCACTGTGTAGCATTAGCCTGGTGGTCGCAAGGAGAAGAGGCACAGCCCAAGAACTGCTAATGCTCTTTGCCACCATCTCTTCCAACAAGCACCATGCACTCAACATCCCAGCTGGTCCCAGGCTGCACTGCTTTAGGTCTGAATTTCAGCAAAATGGGGCATACCCAGGCTGGCAGGTACAGTGATGCTTGGCCCACCCTGGTGCTGGGTCTGCTCCATGGAGATCTGTATATACCAGTGCATCAACACCCAGCTGGCTGGTTATGACTGAGTTATACACAACACTTGCCTTCCCCTGTAAGCTTGTCTTCAGGAGGGTGGGAGCCCTGCAGAGGAGATCCTCTTAGGCTCCCCATCTCCTTACCTGCTTCCCATGTCGGTTCCTCCAGGAAATCCACCGTGTGCCATCCCGACTATAATTGATCTTATACATTGGTGCAAACTCATTGCCATGGCCACCAGCATGCCGACCTTGGGTCCCCACCAGAGTGATAAAATGCAGGGCATGCAAATCAATCTGGAGGAACTCCTTGAGGTCGTCCGGCTCCACTGGGATCTCTGGACACCAGGCACCATCTCCTTCTTCTGAGTCTAGCCTAAAGCAGTGCAGGGTGAGGTGGGAAGACCAAGAAGGAGAGGGAATCACTTCCAGAGACAATTGAAACCAGACCTTCCCCTGCCTCCTCCCTGGGTTATATCACTTGCTCTGGCCACAGCTAAACCCAGTTAAAGCAAACAAGAACAGCAAAGCACCATGGTTACAGCCCCTGAGGATGTTCAGCAATGCAAGAGCTCCACACCCTGGGGTTATATCAAGCAACCCGTATCTGCTGCACTGCAAGGGACCCAAACCCATCCGTGCCTACACTGACTCTTCATGCCACATGCCCTCACCTTCCATACTTGGCAGCTGTGGATTCAGACCACTGGCTGGAGGCAGAGATGTCCTCGTCCGGGATGTGGCCACCTGACATGCCCAGGGGGTAACGGCACACACCTGAAATGAGACAGAACTGAGCACTGAGCTTCTGCTAAGCATGGTCAGCCACTCCTCTGGTTCTCTGCAAGAAGCAGGGCACAGTGATTTCAATGATCTCATTCTGGAAGCAGGCCAGGCAGGATGCAGGCGGCTTGCTGTTATCTGTATGATGTTCTTGATAAGAGGACCCCTCTGATCCTGGAAAGTGTAAACGGGGAAACAGTGGGCAGTAGTAGGATGGAGATATGACTTCTATATATGGCACTAATGAACACAGTGGATAGGAACTGTCACCATGGCTCATCTTAGCCAGGGCCCTATCTTTGATCAAGACTGGTACTGGATATTTCAGAGGAATGTGTAGGAAAAGTTGCAGCAGGCTGGGATAGGTTATATATACTGATGTATACACATCCTTCTGACTCCACTGGGTAGAGGTTACCATAAGCTCTGAAGAGTGATGGGTTTAGTGCCCTTCTAAAACTCTGACATGCTCCCTGTTTATAAGCAGACTGCTGGAGAGTCTCATTATCCGTGGTAGCCTCCATTCATCTTTTGGTTTCAATAATATTTTGTGGCTATGAGTTCTATAGGCTAAGTAGGTCTTGTGTGAAGAAGGATTTACTTCTGGGGGTTGCAGTCACTGCCTTTCAGTTTCGTGGACAGATACTTTGTGCCTGTGCCAAGAGAGGATCAAGAAGGGTACCTGATCTGCCCTTCCTGTGCTGTACATTATAATAGATACTATAACCAGAATCTGTGTTATTTATCTCCTCTCCAAAGTAAACAAACTTATTCATTTAAACTTCCTCTCATCTAAATTTTTCCAATCCCTGAATCATTTTTTTCATCATGTCTTAGCCCAGTTTTATTCTGCCGTGTTCCCACTGTGGTTCACAAGGATAGGCGAGGCTGCAGCACTGTCTTCTGCAATGGCATCACAGTAATTTTTCCATCTCATTTTCCAATCCATTGCTCATGCACTCTAACAGTTTTGTTTCCTCTTTGGAACAGAGGTTTTCAACAAGCTAGCCACAAAGATGCGCAAGTGAGCTCTTTACTGGATACAGCATCCACTTTTGTTGGCCACACTTGGAAAAGGTTGTTGAAGAATAGCAGATGGTTAAGGAAGAGTTACAAGAATAATCTGTGCTCTGAAAGGCATCTTTCATAGTGAAAGACAACAGAGGCTCTATTTATTTATCTTATGGGATAGCAGCCTGAAAACAACTTGTTTCCTGTTCAGAAGTACCTAGATGGAAAGGCAATTTCAGAAAGCAGAGGGCTTGTCAATATAGTGGACAAAAGTGGAACGGGATCCAGTGGTTGGAAGCTGAAGTTGGCAAAGGTCAAACAGGAAAGAAGGTGCAAATTGTTAACGGTGAGGGAAACTGACAGGGTTGGGGGACTTCCCCCTCACTCCCAGGGTGGGATTTGCAAAAGCACCTTACTGAGTTATCACTTGGATCTTTAAATCAAGATAGTAGACTGCATCTTTTAAAAAGAGATATCTAGTCTCCACCACTAATGCCCTGTACTAGCAGCAGAAAACATATGGGGAAGATCTGGGGCCTGCATTAGGTAAGAAGCCTGGTTAAGTGCTCCTAGTGGGACTTGATAGTTTAAAATCCATGAAACCCTTCACTTCTGGGTCCTTGAGATCAATCAAGCCAAAATACCCATTCCCTAAGGTTTATGTGTAATAATCCAAGGTATAGCAGTGGGCACGGGTATGATGGGTATGGCCTAATTTCTATTCCTATGGGGTTGGGTGCCCATAAAACCAGTAATTGTCTTGTCCCACCCCCCGTCCCTGTCCCCCCCATTCCCTTGGTAGTATCAGGAGAGAAGGCAAGGACCAAAATGGCCATTAGATAGCCATCACCCCTTGAGGTAAAGTGTGTTGGCAGGAGGTGTGGTAGGAAAAAGAGTGAAGGAGCTAGCTGGCAGCTGGCATGGCTCTTGTCTATGCTGTCCTTGTTCAGAGAATAAACAGGGGTTTCAGTCTCTCAGGGCTCTCACTCCAGCCACTTTTTTCCCCAGAGGTAAGTTCACTTTAGAAATCATCCCTTTGCTCTAATGGACTGTCATCCTGTACTACCTGCCCAAAAGAAACAAGAGACAAAAATCCGTCAAGCGAATTGAGCATGTCACCTCCTGAAGACAGCACCACAGCTTTCAATTAAAACCCTCCCCAGTGCTCTGCAGCAGGTAGCACCTTCTGGCTTCCCACTCCACAGTGGGTTGGTTTCCTCCCACTTCCTTCCAGAGGCTGCATTTACTCCTCCGTCCAGGAGTGGAAAAGTACCCACTGCCTAGGGCTGGTGGCTGTGGCTCGAGGCTTGCTGTGTCCCATGTGAAGCAGCCTGGTCCAGGAGCAGTGGTAGATACAGCCCAGCTTTCCAGGAGTTATTTTTTCATGCTTAGCTGCCAAGAGTGCTACTGAAAGAGTTGCTTGTTCGGAGATGTTTACTGTCTCACCACTGGCTCCAGCCGCAAAGCTCCCTCCATAAACTGCCTCCAAGTAAACACATGCACACAAGCCAAAGGGAAGAGATGAGGATGTAGCAATAGGATTTAAAGCCAAAGCAGCCCCCAGATTCCTACAAGGTAGAGACAGTTGCCACCCTTAGCTTTAATAAAAGGCATGGCTAAAAAAAGACTACAAATCCCAGCATGCAGTGTTCCCTCTGGAGCTATGTGAATATTTACATTCCCAAGGCCTCCTGGAAGGAGAGGCCAAGCAAGGGGACTATGAACAGTCCCTGAAGCAGATGCATCAGTTTTCACGCTGATTTTCAATTAGTGCACACAAAGCGAATGTGCTGGGATGGAGAGGGGAAAGCAACATGACCGTGTTTTGGGTGTATGAGTCAGTACTGACAGAGAAACTACTCGGGGATGTTTTGCAACATTGCCAGCCCCTAGCATTCAAAAATCATGAGTCAGGCACCCAGAAATTCTGAGATTTAATACTTGTGGGGTTCTTTTTATTTGGCTTTCTGGTTTCTGAGCCTTTAGGCAACCTTCAGTTCAGGTTTTCAAGTTTTTCTCCACAACACTGAGCACCAGAAATCTTTATTATTAACACAAGCCTTGAAACTCACTATTAGAAGCACTGAAACGGACAGTGCTGTGGTATCAGCAGTCCTGAAATGGACTAGCTCCTCTTGCATTTAAGGCAACTATTAAAAAGTTTCAAGATTTCTGTTACAAGCTTTAAAAATGAAGGAAGACAGCAGCTATACAACTTCTTTGTTTCTATCATTTGCAAGATTTCTAATAGCACCTTTTAACACTTACATCTTCAGTGTTTTTGGCACCCTTCAGTAGAGCACAGTAAGTTACAAAGTAGGTAGAAGGGTCTGGAATAGGGGTAGGCAACCCTCGGGCACGGGTGCCAGAGCATGGCATGCAAAGGCATTTTGCTTGGCACATGAGTCTCAGGGCAGAGGACAGGGAAGGGGCTGGGACTGTGCTACCACAAGACGGATTAGGCCCCTTGCGGCTCCCGCACTGTCATGACAACATCTTACAAGTTGAGGCTGCGGATGTTTTGGGCACTCTGCCCAAAAACATTACTGACCCCTGGCCTGAAAAATACTTAACGCTTAACCAATATGAAGGTAACTGACATCTGTTATAACTGGGACTGAGTGCTGTTCAGTTAAGCAAATTATGCACTTACTCAGTATGCTAAGTGAAATGCACTGAAGGCACTGCAATCCAAAAAATCTCAAGACAAGCACATTTCAGGCTGTCAGAAAGGGTATCTTTACCGGCCTCTTCAAGGTAGCAACTGCTGGGGTGAGCTGCAGGCAGTAATTAACAGTTGACAGCAGTGCTACATGGTTGGTTGATCTAGGAAGGAAGTGAAGGTGAAAGCTGAATAGCAGAGGGAATTTTGCAAGGCATAATGTAAATATCTACACCGGAATTTATGCGCCAATGCACTCTCGACAGTCTAGCTTTGATGTCCACGTGGGACTGAGGGATGGAAGACTTGGTTATCATTTCTCATCTGAAAGACAGCACCTCCAGCAACCCAGCTGGTCCCTACCTGGACTGAGCCAGTAAGAAGAGAAGAATTGGATAAATCAATAGTGCAAGTCACAGCAGTGCCTGAGCTATCCTTGGAGATTTTCCATCCAGTTGCTGACCAAGCCTGGATCTGGTTAAAACAGTTATCTGCTCTGATATCGCAACTTAAAGGGTATGGCTGCAAAACTCACCAGAAGTCAGAAACCAGCCCTCTTTTATGGGACCAGTTCATCTGTTTGGACCCACTAAAAATGTCCAACTGGGCCAGACAAACCCAAGACTGTATCAAACAGAAGTCTTCCTGTAAAAAAGGACCAGGTCCTGGAGAATCATTTTGATGGTTTGCAGAATCCACAGAGAAATTCTTCTCCATTGTTGGGACTGGCTCTTGAACATATCAAGAACCAGAAAAAGCCTATTGTAAAACCCTGATGGAAACCAGTTCCTCTACTGAGCCCAAGGGGACTGGATTTCACTTCTGGGAAGGCCATCAGGAAAAGGGATTGAGCCTGTACTTTATTGATACTCTTTTCTTGCTTACATCAAAACTGTTTTAAAAGGCTTCAAATGACACCAGCTCTGACTAGGGGCCAAGCGTCTGTCAAAGTCTTTCATGAAGCAAGCCTTAGTCCAAAACCCTACCAGCCAAAAAAAGTAGCTGGCACCAAGACAGAACAATAATAATAATCAGCCATCCTATTTTTCCCTGCTCTAAACCTTAAATGAAAGCTGGACCACTTGGAACAAAACATATAAAGGCCTCTATTCAAAGGCTCAGGCTCCATGTGCCACAGCAGATAATCACAAGGCAAATATGTTCAGGGAGCACAGGCTCCTCTCTGGGTATGGACAGATCAAAACATCCACCAGGAATAAGTGCTCGTGCTCAGGAGAGAACTGGGATTCTATTGGTCAGAAATGGGATGCACAGGCAGAGCTGTGGCAACATGCAAGGGTGGGTAAGCAGGGCATGCTGTGACCCAAGGTAAAAAGGCCCTGGCAGAGTCACAATGACATACAGGGGGCTACAAATAAGGAGCAAGGCACACTAGTAGAGCTACTGTAGGGACAATATTTGCCCAGAGATATGGTGCCTGACACAGCATGGCCAGTGGTAACAGAGTTCATCTGGCATCTCTAAGCCAATAGTTTCATAGTTTCATAGTTTGTAGGGTCGGAAGGGACCTGAGCAGATCATCTAGTCCGACCCCCTGCCATGGCAGGAAAGAGTACAGGGGTCAAACAACCCCAGCAAGGTGTTCATCTGACCTCCTCTTAAAAACCCCCAGGGTAGGAGCCTGCACCACTTCTCTTGGAAGTTGGTTCCA